CACTATTTTTTTTTTTACATCCTGTCACCAGTGCAGTACAGCGTCAGCATATAACTGGCATGGCGGTGATCAGGGACACTGAATAGTGACAGTATGAAAAAAAAAATTTTTTTTAAATTTTATATTACATTTTTTTAAGATTTTTTTTCATATTTCACTATGACCAAAGTAGTACAATGTTACCATAGTAATATTGTACTACTTTGGGGAAGTGATCAGTATTTTTCTTTTTACACAATTTGCTTATAGCAAAGAATTACTTTGCTATAAGCAAGCATTTACCTGAATGACATCGATTCATTCGGGGTTTTGTTTTTGTGCTTAGCTGTGATTTGGCCACGGCTAATCAAATGACACACAGCTGGGCTGTGATTGGCCCAGCTTGTGCATGTGATCGCTGTGACCATTCACAGCTAGGCACACTAGTATACAATGGATGGCATGAATGAAGCCATCCATTGTATACAACTGTCATTCGGCCATAGGCCAGACGGGAACTGGTTAAAATCAGAACAGAGACACACAAAGTCGAGGCAAAGTCATCTAGTAACCGAGCGAGCAACCTGCCGAGCAGAATGGGAGATGTTGATGGTTTCAGTCATGAGAATGGATTCACACCAGGTCCTTTGGGTTCAGTATGGATTTTAAAGGGTAACCCCACACAAAACAGTACGAACAAAGTGTGGGGTCTCTCCCAAAATCAATTCTAGGCCCTTATCCAAGTCTGAAACCTGACTAGCCAGGAAAGAGGAGGAAAACCATGCCCCCTACCTTCTGAACCACACCAGACCACATGCTCACAATATAGGTGTAGCATTACCTTCTTGGGAGTTGCAGAGGTTTTGGGTCCACCTATAGTCCTGCACAGCCAGGTAATACGCATTTTCACACAACCTTGCATCCAGGAGTCAGTAACCAGTCCTTAAGCTTTGTTTTTGCGATTTTATTTAGGGGATTGTAACTTGGATGGGGGAAGGGGTGTATGGGATTCCCGAGGACAACTTCTTGAAACAATTTACACTTGTTTATAGCCAACACAGTCTCTTTTGGAGAGCTAGCCAGCTTCTCAGCCCAGATAATCCCCCACCAAGCTGTTCTGGGTGAATCCCTGGACAGGGGATCCAGTGTCTGCACATGAATAGTGAAACAGTCCTGGGTGGCAGGATGATCCAGTTTCCCACCAGAGTGCCTCCTTCCCATATCTGGCTAAGGAGGTGCAGGTCTACTCACTCAGTCCTTCTCCCATGCTGCTGGTGGGTTGGTGGCTGCTGCCAGGCCTTTTAGCTGGGCTGCTCCTTCCCTGCCTCGTAGGTAGTCCTCTCTCAGGGGGCCGATGAAGTCCTGAGCTTTCCTCCTTCCCAGGTCCCAGGTCCTCTGCCTGTAGGTGAGCCCCTCTCCACCTGGCCCCCTCCCAGGATCCCGCCTTCCAGCCTCACATCCTCCTCTACTCTCCTGCTGAGTAGGCTGTCACTCTTAAAGGCTGTCCTGGCCCCTTGCCAAGCCTCCTGCTGGGGGAGGAAAGTTGAACAAGTCCAATGTATGAGCTGGTATCGGGGAACAGGAGGAATCTGTACAACATGAGGCATCGGGAAATGTCTATCTGTCTGCAGGACACCGGGGAGATACGGGAAATCTACAGTCAGGTCAATAAATATTGGGACATCGACACAATTCTAACATTTTTGGCTCTATACACCACCACAATGGATTTGAAATGAAACAAACAAGATGTGCTTTAACTGCAGACTGTCAGCTTTAATTTGAGGGTATTTACATCAAAAACAGGTGAATTGTGTAGGAATTACAACAGTTTGCATATGTGCCTCCCACTTGTTAAGGGACCAAAAGTAATGGGACAGAATAAATAATCATAAATCAAACTTTCACTTTTTAATACTTGGTTGCAAATCCTTTGCAGTCAATTACAGCCTGAAGTCTGGAACGCATAGACATCACCAGACGCTGGGTTTCATCCCTGGTGATGTTCTGCCAGGCCTCTACTGCAACTGTCTTCAGTCCCTGCTTGTTCTTGGGGCATTTTCCCTTCAGTTTTGTCTTCAGCAAGTGAAATGCATGCTCAATCGGATTCAGGTCAGGTGATTGACTTGGCCATTGCATAACATTCCACTTCTTTCCCTTAAAAAACTCTGGTTGCTTTTGCAGTATGCTTTGGGTCATTGTCCATCTGCACTGTGAAGCGGCGTCCAATGAGTTCTGAAGCATTTGGCTGAATATGAGCAGATAATATTGCCCGAAACACTTCAGAATTCATCCTGCTGCTTTTGTCAGCAGTCACATCATCAATAAATACAAGAGAACCAGTTCCATTGGCAGCCATACATGCCCACGCCATGACACTACCACCACCATGCTTCACTGATGAGGTGGTATGCTTAGGATCATGAGCAGTTCCTTTCCTTCTCCATACTCTTCTCTTCCCATCACTCTGGTACAAGTTGATCTTGGTCTCATCTGTCCATAGGATGTTGTTCCAGAACTGTGAAGGCTTTTTTAGATGTCGTTTGGCAAACTCTAATCTGGCCTTCCTGTTTTTGAGGCTCACCAATGGTTTACATCTTGTGGTGAACCCTCTGTATTCACTCTGGTGAAGTCTTCTCTTGATTGTTGACTTTGACACACATACACCTACCTCCTGGAGAGTGTTCTTGATCTGGCCAACTGTTGTGAAGGGTGTTTTCTTCTCCAGGGAAAACTTCTTTGGTCATCCAGCACAGTTGTTTTCCGTGGTCTTCCGGGTCTTTTGGTGTTGCTGAGCTCATCGGTGCGTTCCTTCTTTTTAAGAATGTTCCAAACAGTTGTTTTGGCCACGCCTAATGTTTTTGCTATCTCTCTGATGGGTTTGTTTTGTTTTTTCAGCTTAATGATGGCTTCCTTCACTGATAGTGACAGCTCTTTGGATCTCATCTTGAGAGTTGACAGCAACAGATTCCAAATGCAAATAGCACACTTGAAATGAACTCTGGACCTTTTATCTGCTCATTGTAAGTGGGATAATGAGGGAATAACACACACCTGACCATGGAACAGCTGAGAAGCCAATTGTCCCATTACTTTTGGTCCCTTAACAAGTGGGAGGCACATATGCAAACTGTTGTAATTCCTACACCATTCACCTGATTTGGATGTAAATACCCTCAAATTAAAGCTGACAGTCTGCAGTTAAAGCACATCTTGTTCGTTTCATTTCAAATCCATTGTGGTGGTGTATAGAGCCAAAAATGTTAGAATTGTGTCGATGTCCCAATATTTATGGACCTGACTGTAATTCATGGTCACCTGGAAATTATCCAAAGGAGAACTTCCATCCAAACCGTGAGATTGGTCAGAGACCATGGAAACATTTAAGGGGCGGCGTGGAGGAAAGTCATGAAACCCCCACCTCCTGAACCAGACCAGGCCACATACCCTAAATATAGGCAGGGTACCTTGCCAAGTTCATTCAATAGTGGTTGGAAACAAGTCCAACGTCTGAGCTGGTATCGGGGAACATGAGGAACCTGTACAGCAGTGGTCTAAAATTGTTCTAAACAAAGAGCCAGTTTACGGTCCTTCTGACTTTAGGAGGGCCAGACTGTGGTCATGGGGAATAGAAAATGTGCCGGCATCAGCGGGAGTAAACAATGCCCCATCTTTGGTGTCAATGGAAGGAATTGTGCCCCATCTTTGATGTCATTGGAAGGAATAGTGCCCCATTGTTGGTGTCATTAGGAGGAATTGTCTCCCATCAATGTCATTGGAAGGAATTGTCCCCCATCAATGTCATTGGGAGGAATTGTCCCCCAACCAATGTCATTGGGAGGAATTGTCCCCCAACCAATGTCATTGGAAGGAAATGTCCCCCAACCAATGTCATTGGAAGGAAATGTCCCCCAACCAATGTCATTGGAAGGAATTGTCCCCCATCAATGTCATTGGGAGGAATTGTCCCCCATCAATGTCATTGGGAGGAACTGTCCCCAATCAATGGCACTGGAAGGAATTGTCCCCCAACCAATGTCATTGGAAGGAATTGTCCCCCATCAATGTCATTGGAAGGAATTGTCCTCCATCAATGTCATTGGAAGGAATTGTCTCCCATCAATGTCATTGGGAGGAAATTGCTCCCCTTTTTTGGTGTCAATGGGGGGGGGAATTATGCCCTATTGTTGGTGTCAGTGGATAAATTACTGTCTCAAGGGCCAGATAAAAGCAAACAAAGGGCTGCCTCCAGCCCCCGAGGCCACAAGTTTGGAGACCACTGCTGTACAGCATTAGTACTGCAATTCATGGTCACCTGGAAATAACCAGAAGGAAAAGGTCCATCCAACCCGTGAGATTGGTCAGAGACTCATCGGTGTCATTCTGGGCATTGCCAGGCTAGGTCTTGGTTACGGAGTGAAGGGGGATCCCACTCATACTATATATGACCTTCATCTACATCATGGAACTTTCCTTCTGCCTCTTAGTAAATACGATAGAAATGTTCTCCATCCTATATAAGAGGTTCAGAGAAGAGGAACCAGAGAGAGAGAACGAGGCCGGAGACCGCACATAACCTCTGAGAGCCGCAGCAGGAACTGCCACTATAATTCCCACGGGCCCTAGTCAGAAATCTGTCCCAGCTGAACGAACGCTTCTCACATTTATTCCACTATTTCCAACAGACCTTGAAAGTGTTTGTGAAATCTTCCACCACAAAATGCACTCAGCCAATGACAGGTGAGGACGCCATTTTTATTCTTCTCCTGCCATCGATGGCCAACCCGGTCCCACACTTCATCGAGGTCTTTGGTGACCTCTGATCTCCTTATGATGAAGATCAGCCATGGAGTATATCTGAGGTGTATATTAGGGTGTGCTTCTCCCCCACATGAGAGCTGGGATGTCCAGCAACATTCATCTAGAAGACATTTCCCGCACTCAGGGCACTAATACACCTCCAGGGTTGTGTGGGACCCCAGATGTCCAGGAAGACAAGACCTCAGTGAGGAACATTTCCCTCACTCAGGACAGGAACGTGGCTTCTCTCCCGTGTGCAATCTTTGATGTGTGTATAGATGGGACTTCTGTGAAAAACATTTCCCGCACTCAGAACAGGAATACGGCTTCTCGCCCATATGCAGTCTCTGATGTCTGTAAAGGTGGGACCTCTGTGAAAAACATTTCCCGCACTCAGGACAAGAATACGGTTTCTCACCCGTGTGAGATCTCTGATGTCTGTAAAGATGAGATTTAACTGAAAAACATTTCCCGCACTCGGGACAGGAATATGGCTTCTCACCGGTGTGAGAATTTTGATGTGTGACAAGATCTGATTTCTGCACAAAACATTTCCCGCACTCGGAGCAGGAATATGGTTTTTCTCCTGTGTGAGACCTTTGATGAGTGATAAGATTTGATTTTTGCACAAAACATTTCCCGCACTCAGAACAGGAATACGGCTTCTCACCTGTGTGCAGTCTCTGATGTCTGTAAAGATGGGACTTAACCGAAAAACATTTCCCGCACTCAGGACAGGCATGTGGCTTATCCCCCGTGTGAGACCTTTCATGTGTGACAAGATCTGATTTTTGTACAAAACATTTCCCACACTCAGAACATGAATATGGTTTTTCCCCTGTGTGGGACCTTTGATGTGTAACAAGATCTGATTTTTTTATAAAACGTTTTCCACACTCAGAACATGAATATGGTTTTTCTCCCGTGTGAGACCTCTGATGTGTGGCAAGATCAGATTTTTGTGCAAAACATTTCCCGCACTCAGAACAGGCATACGGCTTCTCACCTGTGTGCAATCTCTGATGTCTGTAAAGATTAGATTTGTCAGAAAAACATTTCCCGCACTCAGGACAGGAATGTGGTTCTCCCCCGTGTGAGATCTCTGATGGATGACAAGATCTGATTTTTGTAAAAAACATTTCCCGCACTGAGAACATAAATACAACTTTTCATTCTTGTGCAATCGCTGATGTCTATAAAAATTGGACTTGCTTGCAAAACATTTCCCGCACTCAGGACAGGAATGTGGCTTCGCCCCCGTGTGAGATCTTTTATGCTCATTATGATCGGACTTCGAATGGAAACCCTTCCCGCACTCAGTACAGGAGAACCTCTTCCCAGTGTGAAGGCCGGCCCGGTCCTGCACAGTCTGAGGTTCCTCAGGATATGAGGAATCCGATGGTCCATCTACACTGGGTGGTGCCAGATGGACATTGGAGGGAGCCGGGGTTTTTCTCCTGGACTATACTGTGTGATGTCCTCATCTTCTACTTTCCAGTCTGGAGACAAAGTGAGACAATCCTCGGAGGTTTTCCTCATCTCCCGGCCATGGACTAAAATACAAAGACAAAGAGGATTACTAGACAGGAGCCCCACCAGAGGTCAGAGAGTGAAGATGGGGGGAGGACAACCAAGAGGAAGACTGGACTCATCCTGAAGACCACCATCATTGGGGTATTGGCTCCTCCCCTATCCTGAAGACCACCATCATTGGGGTATTGGCTCCTCCCCATTATCACTTTCTGGTTGGAGGATGTGATCACATTATTATCACCATGTAACAGTCTGTGCTCCAATCACATCATCCGATATAAAATGTCCAGCTGGTAGGAAATGGGGGGAACAGAGGAGAAGACGTGTATATATAGCAGTGGGAGGAGGGGGGAGCAGAAGTCAGGAGTATGGAATGTACAACATGGAGTATATAGTGCAGGGGTCAGGAGTATGTAATGTACTACACGGAGAATATAGTGCAGGGGTCAGGAGTATGTAATGTACAACATGGAGTATATAGTGCGATGGTCAGGAGTATGTAATGTACAACATGGCGTATATAGTGCAGGAGTATGTAATGTACAACATGGAGTATATAGTGCAGGGGTCAGGGGTATGTAATGTACAACATGGAGTATATAGAGCAGGGGTCAGGGGTATGTAATGTACAACATGGAGTATATAGTGCAGGGGTCAGGAGTATGTAATGTACAACATGGAGTATATAGTGCAGGGGTCAGGAGTAGGTAATGTACAACATGGAGTATATAGTGCAGGGGTCAGGAGTATGTAATGTACAACATAGCGTATATAGTGCAGGGGTCAGGAGTATGGAATGTAAACCATGGAGTATATAGTGCAGGGGTCAGGACAAAAGGCCCAAGGAACATGCTTCAAGTGCCTAGGTTTATCAACACCTATAAATCCACATTTTGCTGCCAGCTGATCCCCAGAATCTCCATAAATCCAGTCTAGAGACATAAATTGTGTCTGCAGCACAGAGAAGGAAGATTATCTGAGAGAAATCCAGGAATACAGGACGGGGAACACAGCTCAGGAAAGTGACCAGGGTATTACAGGCTGATATCCCCCCCCCCCCCGCCCTACTCTGCACCAATCAGTAAGCAGTATGGGTGGAGGAATGGATTTAGTGTTCATGACCTACCTGTGCTGATCTCTGTAGGAGTGTCCTCCTCTATAAATGTCCCCGTTATTCCATCCTCCTCCATACACTGCTGATCATCCCTCACATACGCCTCTTCTTCTGATTTCACCTCAACTTTTATATCCATCAGATCTTCACCCTAAACCAAGAACACAACATTTGTAAAATATGAGCTCACACAAAAAATCCACACATCCTCTCCACAAGTCCATGTTCTAGATGCTCCGTAAAACCAACCTTGTAACAATGAGGGATGGTGTGACCTTCCTGTGTGGAATCCCGGGAATACAGAGGAGGAGGACATCTCTCTGGTGGGTTCCTGGTATTAGGTGGCTCCATCATATCCTTGTGTCCTTCTGAAAGTTCCTCCATCACTCCATATTCCTCATCCTCCTCTGTATACTCTTCTTTGACAACAATATTATAATCCCCGAGGTTTCCACACTGAATGAATAAAAAGACATTATAACAATTGTGTTTGTGTAGAACTCATAACTATCAGTGATTGTTCCTCATCTACCTGATGGATGGTGAGGGATGGTGTAACCTTTGTGGTGGTAGCTCAGGTGAGGGATCACCTTCCCTGGGATAAAGGTAGTCCAGACAGTCGGGCTTTCGTAAAGTCAATTTTATTGAAAAGGTTGCAAGCATCATAAACAAACAAAACAGAAAATAAACCCTCGCCATCCAGGCACTGACTACACTCAGGGGTTTCCTCTCTCAAAGGTGAAGGGCTTCTCCCTGTCACCGACAAAATGAAACCAGTATGCAAACTATAACGGAACTGGACCCCGACTGCACTAGGGTATTTCCGTTAGCCTCCCGCTTCCCCGTCCGAACACAGATCCACAGACACCACTGCTGACCATACAAGACGAGACAGCACCAGACTTGTATTAAAACAGGAAATGGACTGCTTTATTTTAACACAGAGACAAGATATATACAAAGGGCGGGGAAATACACCCAGTAACAGGAAACACATCAGCAGGCTGTCCCATCAGGGGGAAGGGCTGCCGGAAACACCCCCCACCAAGCCAGTACAAACACATACATCCCATAATAGTTTACTCCCAAGCAAAACACACAATAGAACAATGGGATGCAGCCGCATGGCAGTGAACAATAAACACCCCCCCCACCCCAATATTAGAACATTCTACCCTGTAACCCTAACAGGCACAGGGTGACTTACACATAATAGGGATATGGGGAACTGAGACAGGAGTCTCCCCACCTCTCCAAAGAGGACTGTGTTCCATGGGCCCCCCACCCAAAGTCACTCCCGTCACACAAACCTTTTCCTTTCTTGCACAATGCAAACTTTCATCCATGGCTCACTCAGATATGACTCTCCGAGTCCCAGGCCAAGAGCAACTTCTACTCCAGTCCTGCCTGATTTATACCACCTGCTGGTGGTCATTGGTGGACTACAAAATCCAGTCTGGAACCACCTCTACCATAGTGGCCCAGGTGGACTCCACCTTAGTCTCCCAGATATGACCACATGCGAGGTGACACATAACGTCCATCGATCATCTCGCCTTTCATACTGTCACATATCCCCCTGCCAGCTCAAGCCACTGTGGCTAAGCAACTGTCCCAACCAAGCAATGGACCCGGGAAAGGGCATCTACATTCTCCTGAGGTTTCCCGGCTCTGTGCTCCACTGTGAAGTTGAATGCTTGTAGCGCAAGAAACCAACTGGTCACCTGACTATTTTTCTCCTCGTTATTGCACATCCACTTGAGCTGGGCATGATCAGTAACCAAATTTGAATGGTCTTTCCAACAGGTAATATTTCAGGGCCTCCAAGACCCATTTGATGGCCAAACATTCCGTCTCAACAACGGCTTTCTGCTCAGGAAGACCCAGTGGTGTATTTAGGTTTTGTGCTGACCTAGGCAACACAAAAATCATCTGCCCCCACAGACCGACAATGACTAACACCCCACATCCCCATCAGAGAGAGCCTGATATTGACCAACAACACCCCTGCCCCCCATCTGGGAGAGCCTTCCACTACCCCCCTTCCCGGCGATAGAGAGAAAGCTCAGGACATCTCTGCGAAAGAGAGCCAGGCTCTACATAGACCATGAAGCAGCCTGCAGTCTCTCTCGGATCCCACCTGGTTCCATGGCACACGTGTCCCTTCTTCCATCCCTTCTTCTGGGGAGAGGTGCTGCCCCCCTGAAAAATGCCGCCCTAGGCAAATGTCTTGTGGTAAATACACCCCTGGGAAGACCACGGGGTGCTCCTCCCCATCTCTGATCTGGGACAGTAGAGCACCAAGTCCCACATCAGAGGCATCCGTCTGTACCACAAATTCTGTTGTGAGATCCGGGGTCACGAGCACAGGTTGGGCACAGAGAGCTTGTTTCAACCTTTGAAATGCCGTCTCGGCCTCAGGATTCCACTCAGTCATAACCGAACCCCTACCTGTTGTCAGATCTGTCAGTGGGGCTGCGATGATGGCAAAATTGGGTATAAACCGCCTATAGTAGCCTGTGATCCCAAGAAATGCCCAGACTTGCTTTTTATTTATAGGTTGGGGCCACTTTTGAATCGCCTCAATTTTATTAATCTGTGGCCTAATCAGTCCTCGACCAAAAATGTAGCCAAGATATTTGGCCTCCTCCAAGCCTATGGCACACTTTTTGGGGTTGGCAGTAAGACCTGCTTTCCTAAGCAAATGTCAGGGTCCTGTCCATGGCAGAATTTCTGGAAGATCTGGCATTTCTGCCAGTACTCTGCATGGCCGCAGAAGTACACATCAGCCTGTTTGGTGCCAGACGGCCTTTATAAGGAGGCTCATCACTTCCTCAAGTTGCTGGATGATCTCCAGCTCCCAGTGCCCTGTTCCTGTGATTTTGACCCGTGATTTCCTGTTACCGACTCGGCTTGCTCCTGGGCCTGTCAACTCTGCTTTACGCCTGATCTGACCCCGGCTTGGCTTATGGATACTCTCTCTCTCGCTCCTCTGTGTATGACCTCGGTTATCCCATCTGACTACGTCTGCTCTGATTCTCACCTGGTACCTTACCTTGGCTTGAACCGACTACCCAGTAAACACCTAAATCCCGGAAGGGCTTGCATACCACGCACAGGCACCACCTGTCTGCAGACCTATCTCCATGCACCAGCTGTGCTTCTGAGTGGACCACCAACCATCACTCCTACAGGCGACCTGTGCCACTTTGGGCCAGACTCCCGCTGTCCCACTCTCAGGGGAGTCTGGAACTTAGCCGCAAGGGAAACCCTCTCTCCATTGGCCTCCACCACCGGGTACATGATAGTTAGGCTCTTTCTGCGGGGGGCGCCAATTTTTGTGTTGCCCAGGGCAGCACAAAACCTAAATACACCACTGAGTATTACCAGTATGTGCTGATGGCACCGAGCAGACTTTACTACTGGAACCACTAGATTCATGCCCACTCTTTCAAAAGGCACTTCAATTATGGGTGAAGGTACCAGTGGACTGCGAAAATGGGGAGAAGGTGCAGCATACTGACACTCTGGGCAGGACTCACAATACTCTTTGACCTCTGCATGTAGACCAGGACAAAAGAATCTCCGGGTTTTC